CCATCCATATGAGATGCGCAAGCAACAGGTCGCGGGAGTCGTTACGCTTGAGTACGCACTGTATGACTGTCATCGAAGCCTGGTGCGCTAAATAACAGTGTTGGGCAGTTCACTCACTTTCCCTGAGCCACAGACAAGACGCTGAACGGGCTCATTATCCACGTGGCGTTTCCACCATATGAGGGCAGAGCAACCAGCTTCCGGATACGCAGTATACAAATTAGGTGCAGATGACCTGACAGGAAAATGTGAATTGTAATCCTTCTTGAACAATGTTCAATGATTTCAATTCACGGAACTCTATATCAGCAGTCCAACACAGCTCACAAGTCATAAGTGCCGCCATACTCTGACTGTAAGTATGGAACTCAGTCGGTCACTGGAGGGCGATGATTTTCTATGACTACAAATGCGGTTTAAAGCAGCACCAAAGTGTTGTGTGCTGTGGTTTGTGATGATGCATCTTCAAGAACCACTGGGTTTTAGTGGTTTGCGGAGTTTAAGCATGGCAAACGATCCGTCGACCTGTGGAGGCCACCACCACGGACAACATTGCTGCTATGCAAGCGATGCTGGAGGAGAATGTGCGGGTGACTGTGGTACAGCTGGGGAGAACCCTCGGGATCACTCCGCACAATCCTACATGAGTACCTCGGCCTCATAATGCTTTACACACGCTGGGTACCCCATCATCTCAGTGAGGACCAGAAAGCAGGTCTGGTTAATCGGTGCCGCACCATGCTTGCCAGGTTTGATGATGGACGTTCCAATGCTGTCCGGAAGATCCTCATTTATGGTGTGACCTAGGTGTACAGTTTCGACCTAGAGACCAATGATAGTCGGCTCAATGGACGGGGGGGGTGAGCTCAGTCTGATCAGGCAGATGGTGGCTGTGTTCGTGGCCAAAACCGCTCATGTGGTTACAGTACCTCTCGTACGGCAACGTAGTCACCGGAGACTGATATGCCGCCCACTGTCTGCCACAAGTGCTCGAATAGGTAGCCAGGAGTCGTCCATGGACTCGAACGATAGGGCCCTTGCTACACCATGGAAATACATCTGCACAGTCTATGTGGTCGAAGATTTTCTGGCTAGAGAACGCATCCAGGAGGTTGATCATCCACCCTACAGTTCAGACCTGGCTTCGCTTGACTTTTTCTTTATTCCCAAATGTCAAGCGCATGATGCGTGTAATCCTCTACAAGTCTCCAAAAGCTGCAGTAGAGGCATTCATGGAGCTGCTTGAACGGTTGCCCGCTTCTGCATGATCTAAGTGCTTCTCTAAATGGTTTGAGCGCATAGAACTGTGCACGAACACTGTTGAAGAGTACATCGAGAAATGTAACACTTATTTTGTTGTAAAATAAATAATCTTTTGTGCATCCGCAAACTTATTGCTCTGCCCTCTTATGAACTGAGCTCCGGACGCACCGGTGGTTGAGCGTAACTAGTCTCTTAATGTGTACCGATCTTATTGACCAAGTGTCGCAAACCTACAACAACCTTTTACGGTTGTGCGGACGGCAGCTATTCCTAGGCGAGAGTGATGTCATGCTACTGCGAGCGCCTCGAAATTTGGCTATACGATTTATGGCCTCATGTATTCCACATTCACTGATATCTAGATCAGTGTAATGGTTGGTCACTGCTAATACTGCATGAAAGCTTCGCATTTTGAGGATGCAAAGCACAGTCTGAAACGACTAATAACTAGTACTTCTTGGTAGAGTTTTAAGCTGTCATTGACCTAGGGCATTATCGTCGGCCTGCTCGAAGCTCAGAAATCGATCAGCGGGAAGCAGCTGTACAACTTCCAAGTCGGGTTCAGTAAACGCAATTTTTATGAATTCGTCAACGGTGGTGTTACACAGAAACGGTGATAGCGGTTATTCTTGCATCACAACACTAGAGGTATTGAAGGGCGGTGACCGTTTGCCACAAGCCCTTCTTTTGCCAGAACTACATGAGTACAAAACCTCCATACTATTTACTTATTCCTCGGATACACGTGTTCCTACGAAACACCGAGCAGTATAATGGAAGATACCTTTGGTTTCGGAGAACACGATTGTGGTGGGTCGCCGATAAGCATGGGGGTTCCCCGGCAACAGACGAAAGGTGAAGACGTAGTCAATACATCCTCTATTTCTACGAAAGCCGACTTTCACAATCGTCAATCAGTCTGTGATACCCGACAAAGGGAAACACTTTGAAGGCGATGGAGATCAGACTGATGTACACTTCATTGCTGCATCACGAGTATGTGCCCCCACCTCTTGAAAATCGGGACTACAACCGAGTGACTCCAACCTGTTGAGTCAGTTTCCAAATCCAACAGTTTTTTCTGGAAAGCGCCAAGTCATCCACAAGACCTCTTCCCTCGAGTTCTAATTAGAACCTTCATCCGATTCTTCAGCCTTGTTCAGTGTCAACAACGGTCTCACAATCGATTTCTGTGCGCTAGGGACGCATAAGAAACCGACAAAAGTGGTGCTCTTGGATAGGTGGTCGTCATGGACCGGTTAATGCATAGGGACATTACTCATAGAAGAAAACGTTTGGGATGTTTTTGACTGGTCGCCCTAAACAGGTGGTCGCCATAGCAACTTAGGCTGTAAGGACATGCGCCTCGATGCCGCCCGACCATCACCACCAGTCGCGCATGCGCTATGGCTACTGCGAAGGCTGCCGTGACCTCTATACAGGCTTGAACCCGCGACCTCTTAATTGCTGGGCCGACACCTAGTTCTTTCGGCCACGGGCCGGTAGAAACTGCGAAGGCGGCGTTGGTCGAACCGTGCGAAATTGTGCAATGTCATGTCAAGGTTATTTTCAGCTTTTTTACGGAATACCTTCGTATCCTCTCACGAATTTGTGGCGATTGATGGTCCACTCCACAGGACAGTATATTTGACTGTAAGGGCATTTGTTCCGATCCCTGGGATAAATACCACGTCGCCTCTGTTGCGAATTCCTGCTAAATTCAGAGCTATCAGTGAAACTGGTAGTGTTGATATATTCAGATCTCATATGCTCGGACTTGCGATTTTGTCTATCATTCGAAACTTTACTTTGCGTTGGCTTAACTTCTGAGGCCTTGTTGTAAAGTCCCTCGTAAAATTTCTGCCTTACATAGGTCTGCAGCTCCCGACTCAGCCGATTGGATTGAAGACAGATTTTACTCAGACATCTGGTTCTCAGAAGAATCTGTTATCGAACGAGTGTTCTGATTTTGTTGGCCGCCACTGGTAGATGTGTAGACATCGTCCAGCGGTCGGACACGAGAGTTCCAGCACCAATCCTACATTTTAGACACTTCGAGTTGAAAATTCGGTGATCTCAATTCGCTTCAACATCAACCAATCGCATGAATTTACTTGCCCCAACATTCGAACGCGTTGTCAGTAAAGCAATTCAATATATTGGAATAAACTTGGAACCGATTCGCGTTCCCAAACCTTCCGAAATTATGTTATCCCAGTCGCTTCAAGTTTTTTCCATGATATCGGTCATTATTGTGCTTTAGTCCTCCTAATCGCGGTCTTTCGAGTTTAGGTTGCTATCAGCGCTTCTGACTAGGAATTCGGTAAACGACTCCTGCAGATTCTGTAGAGGAGTATTATTGTATCCAGTAAGCGCTTCATTGATCGAACAGTCGGGAAGTGTGATTCTTTGCTTGTTATATGAGGACCACAACTTACACGTGTTGCCTCATATTTCAAATGAATAGTGGTCTCCTTAAATGTGTTCTGACGTTCGGCTCGTTGAAACTTATAAATGTCGTGACACCGCCGTTGAATTAAATGTGATTCACTTTTTATGCAATTACTGACAGTTGGCATTGACCTTGAGTAACACCACTGAAGCTGCTAACGGCTGTCCACTTCGCTTAAGCCATATCGCGAAAATTCCGTTTTGGTCTTTCCTACAGATTCGGCCACGTTTCACCACGATCCCTTCCTTTCGCTTCAGGTTGGGGTAATGAACATTTTCGGCATTGATTCAGCTTTCATGATATCTCTGTGACGGTAGCAATGTCCATTCCGTTTGAACGTGAGGGTATTCCGAATGTAACAGCGTTCGGTTTTACATATTCTCGGTGTACTTGTGCCGGAAATGAATGACGGTTTTTATTTATCAACTGTTATCGGGATATCGGATTAGACTTGCTCGTTTCGGGCCACCGGACTACTGGAACTACGAATAACCGATATCCGAAGGAGCCAACGGCAACACAAATCTTCTTGAGCGAACTACCATATGGGATTTCGTTATCAAATCTGGCAAAATTTGCGCTGATTTCGAACCCGCCTCATACTTTCCAGTTTGAAGCGAGTGAGGGGACTACCCACTCCTTTTCGCGGTTGTCCCGTGGATAATGAGCGGCGCTATATCTCATCTAGTAACTTTGTCACCTCGGTCGTTTCCTTCCCTCGTAACCCCTTGGTTCTCACCACGGAGTGGTAACAGTCGAGTTGCGGGTCTTAGCTCTACTAAGATCAGATGGAATGCGCACCGCTGACGATTCCCCAAATGCTGAAACAGCTGCACAGTGCTTTTCCAAGCGTGTAATGGCTGTCTGACTGAGTCTAGATGTGATGAACTTCTACCTATACCGTTCAACTTCCCCTACTAGCCCCTTGTTTTCTCTATACAGTTGGAATTTCTTGCCATGATAGCTTCGAGACTTCCATGTTTTTTCTGTAGGCTTTTCCATGCTTCATTTTCACTCAACAGCCTCTTCGCAGTCGCCAGCTGTTAATGATCCTTGTGTACTGCCTGCTCCAACTATCTTGACATCTGATACTTTTTTTCTTGACACTTGGTCATTCGTTAGCTCTGACGATGGTTCATATCAAACCCATTCTTCTAGTTTCTGCAAGTGTTGTTTCAGTGTTCGAGACTGAATCCACTACCCGGTTGTGGATGTTTTACATCACCTCAAGTGTCCTCAACTCTGACCTCTACTTTAAGGATCGATTTATTTTCCCCCTTTCCAGACAATATGTGCGATGTGGAGCGACACTGTCTGTGCCGTGGTTGCCTCTGCACCGGACATCAAAGTATATGTCACGCAGGTCGCTCTGTGCACAGCGTTAGTCCATCCAGCGGTGGTAGCAGTTGTTGCTGCGCCGCCAGCGCCACTACCACTCGCTCACACTCCTCTTGCTGTTTGTCAGAATTCCGGTACCCGCCGCCTCCACCTGACAACAACAACAACAACAACAGCCACAGCAACAACGTATCGAGCAGGAAACGGTCGGCCTGCAATGAGGACACTACTATATCTACCAGTACGGCGCAGACCCCCACAGCTCCATCTACTCGCCGATACAATCGTCGCGTGGTCCTGCCACCTGTCCGTATGACACACAATGCGGAGGTCAATTCACTTTTGCGAGAAATTATGGAGCGGTAGGTTTTCTTACATACTCAACTTTGAGATATATAAATGGGTATTGCCTCGTTCTATCGAGAATATAAAATATATTTATTTATCCTTTCGACTGCATGGCATTCTCTTAGAACGCACTTAACTAATCCTTTTTCTTTTGTTATTTATTGACTTTAATATTACTACATGAGTGTCATTTGTCGATCATTCCTTATCACCGAGTCCTGAACATTAAAAGGATGCCGATATTGAAATCTGTTATTCACATTGCAACCGGTAATGTCGTTTTTGTGAACCGATCGATTTCGCTTCTCTCACGTACCACGACTACTCTAAGCAACACGTTGCGGACACCTGATTTGTTTGTACAAAGCGATAAGCTTTATGCGCCCAGAAAGGTTGATAATCAACTCGCTATGTAATTTTTAGGATTCCACTTTTCTTACACTCTGCATACATTGTGATAAAACCATTTCTGCTTCAATCAGCTTTTACCCAACTACCATGCTAATGAGTCTTTTTCCGCTCCCGAAGAAACGGTATGGGCAGTCAGCTATGGCGTATACGCACCTCGTTTTGACAGGTTATGCCAACTGACGGCTCTCTCAAGACTTGGGCAGTTTCGGCTTAATCTACCGCGTCCATGCTACCACTATCGCCATATCTGGTGATTGCAAGCCTTCGCGATGTTTCATTTGATTGACGTTTCCTTTGGGGTCCTCTCACTAGGGTACATTACAAAGCTCGTCAAGCGCTTGTTTTCAGGAAAGAAACCAATGCTTCGCTTGTTTCTACCATCTGTGTACTTAACTCCAGTGTACACGCAATAATCTGGACCGGCTATCTGGTCGTGTCAAACCCATCATCCATTTTCTCGATCTCCTCACTTTTGCTTAATGGTGATCTACTATTTTCGGATGAGTAGCTGGTTTATGATTCGCGATACTTCGCTCACAATTGGCCATGTATCTTGGGCCAATTTGACCGTCATTCATCTATCCAGTGAGAATGTATTGATCTCATTATCCGCCAGTCGCGACCTGATGCTCCGTTTTGCCTCCAGCTCCTCAGTTGTACTTAGCACTGTGTGTTGATTAAGACCCACACACACTATGCACGTTAGCTAGAGGTGGGAAACACCTCAGCTACTGTGCCGCAATACCTAAAAGATAAAAGAGAATAAATCGCTACAGGTGCAAGCCAGCGGAGCTACCAGTAAGGGATGGGCATCGTTCCGGTAAACTATTTGCCGGCTACTATGCAACAAAAAAGTAATTTCCTATGCAAAATTGTAAAATCTTAAATAATGAGATCATGCCTGGAGAGGGAGGCTAAGAGGGATGGGGTGGGACAAAGAAACTCACAGCACGAACGCCATTGAGGTCCGCTCCTAGCCATATCAACAAGTGTATCCAGTCAAACATGTTCAACATATTTCATACCCCCACCAGGGAGCCGAGACACTCCAACTGAGGCCAGCTTCGAAGTGAGGGCCTTCATTCCTCTCGACCAATTCATCGTTTGGCCACCTCTCCTCTTCTTCCATCCACACCCCCAGCGAGCAAACAGCGCACGTCGCGGGAGTCGGTGGGCTTACATGCATAACACGTGGCCGAGCCATCGGAGCCTAGTGCATGAAGTAAACGGTGCTGAGCGGTTCATTTCCTTTTCCTGGGCCGTAAACAAGGCGTCGAACATGCTCGTTACTTACGCGGTGTTCCCACCATATGTGAGCTAAATTGCGAAGGCACCGGTGGTCGAACGTAATTAGCCTCGTTATGTCCGTTGATCTAAGGGGCCAGGTTCCACAACCGTACAGTAGGGTCAAAGGTACCGCTGTACTGTACACTCTACCCTTCAGGGCGTGAGTGATGTCGCGCCGGTGGCAAAGATTAGCAAAAACGCCTCGAGCTTTTGCTACACGGTACGTGATCTAATCTTCAATCCCACGAGCGCTGATACAAGACAGGCATTATCAAACTGACCGACTTAGTGCACTTTGACTTCGCGACAGCTGGCGGCTTCGGGAGTACCATTCTCGTGTTATTGCTTCGTTGCTACCTTTAAGCTGAGTTGCGCATCCAAATAAGCACCGAGGATATTCATAGAGGATAGATCTTACGTGGGGACCTTAGTACCCTAGACGAATGTTCACGATCAAGATGCCCACACTTGACAACAATGTGCGCCGCAAACAGGCCGCATTATCGTGGGAGTATTATGCAGCCTCGATCAGGTAACTTCCGTTCAGCTTTACTGCTCCGTACTACAACCGGTCGAAATGATAGAGACAGGTCGGGATGCACTTATTTTAGCCAGTGCTGCTAGGAGACCACCGCACACACATACATGCAGTAGTAGTTGCCCCGTTTCGTAACTCCACGAACCAGTCATGAAGTGGGCCGTGTGCCATTCTTTTCGCATCATCACCCAATTTAGCGATCGTTGGGTTTTCTCCTCTACCAATCGGATAATTATCCTACCATGACGAAACCGTTCGGTCGTGGAGTGCAGTGTTGAGAGAAAGCAGCTCCGAAACTATCTCTCCAGGACTTTGCATTATCCAGTTTGGTTCGGAGAACAACTTTTCTTTCGGGAGATGTCGGCAGACATAGACAGCACTAGATCGAACCAAATAAACCTATTCAATTTTATTTGTTGGCCCGGCGAGGCGATATGTTTATCATCATCGCGTCTTATCATTGTGAACGCGCTTATTCCAACTGACACAACTAGGACTACATAGGTAACGACAGTCGAAAACTTTGTTACAGCCGGATTCTTCCTCTCGCTGTCGTATAGATGGACGGCTCCATAGACTCTATCTTTAAAAGAACGATCAATTCCATTCCGACGCGATAAGTGCCGCAGATTCATGAAGGCGTTTGTAACACCTGAGTTAATCTCACAAATCACGTACTTGTCGCGTCTAATACAGCTGCCGAAGTACGTGGTCTTTTACTTTCAGGGCTTTATGAGCACGATTTGAATGGAAATGCTGCACCGACGGGCTCCACCTTTCATATTTTACGTTTGCAGAGATGCCTCATGTTATCTTCATTTCAGCACATATGTATCCCTATGCACTGTTTCTCCATCAGGAATAGCCAAGCCATCAGTTTCGACTCACGTGAAATGCACATGGCTGTGCAGAAGGAACTCCGTTTGCGCAGTCGCACAGTTCAAGGGAACTCCAACTCCGGATCAGCCTCTGGTCGCACCTCCTCCATCAGCTCCATCGATGGTGCTAGCGGTAGCAACCCCACCGCTTCGGATTCCCGTTTTCTCTCGGGCCACTGCACTCCTAACAAACACGTTTGCGGTTTGCTTGCAACGCGTCATCGGGTGCACTGCTGTTGCGCTAGACTACACCACAACCACTGTTGCCATATGTCATGCGGCGGTTGTTCCGCGAGCGAGGACGGCAATGTTTCCCGATGTGGGTAGTCGGTTTCAGAAAAGACGGTTCCGTAACCACGCTATGTCAGCACATATATACATATATACATCCATGCTTCTTTTATCACCCGACCATTTTACGTGGCGTTGTGCATTCCCTTCGGTGTGTTGCAACTTGTTTGCTGCACCTCTCACACAGTTGCTGCTGGTCGCTTGTGTTGTACCTGCTTTGCTCCAAAACTACACACCATCTTTTTCATCCCACTGTTTGGGTAACCTTTGTAACCTCCAGCCCCATTCCCCCCTCCCGGAGCACAGTAGCAACGGTTGCCCTAATGTGGGTGCATTTACTTGTGTGTTATCCGCTTGCATGGCTGTTCTAGACAGTCTTCATCGCATATGACGATTATCACTCCCCACCCCCACAGCGCATATGTCCGTTCAGTAGTTTCACCTTTCCTATTTGCTGTTATTGTTGTTGTGGTTGTTGTACAACCTCATTTACTCTGATCATTTTCACCCTCTCATTTTGGCGCAACGTTTTATACCTGATATTCCTGTTCCAACTGACCTTTTTGCCCATCGTGCATTCTCAGTCGCCTTTCTCTGTTACACCGCAGTCGCATCTTCGCGACACCAAAAGGAGGCGGCGGTGCTGCCTCCACTTAACTCGTCTTCCTTTGGCATGCAAAACCAAACAATTTCATCAAATCGAATGTAACGGTGTGACATTTTACAATCTTTGTGTACGTTTTGAAACTGTTGCATTTCCTGCAGTGATTTCATCTTGTGTGGAGATCAAATGTATCATTCAAAACTGCCTCGACACCACACTTTTCTTTCCCACTACCATCGTTTTGCTCGAGATTTTAAGAGGGGATACAAGTCATGTTCTAGTTTTGGAAAGACTTGTCCATGTACACCAAAATCTTAACGCGAACTAGTGGGATTTATCGTTTTGCCACCAACTCAATTAGGCTTGTGCCAGCATTTTGCCCTCCAGGTAAGCGGTCTCCGCCTGCGTGCACACAGAACCTTGAAAGGTCCACCAAGATCTACGGTAGTGTTCAGCTAAACAAGAACTTCCGATCCTCGCTTGCTACATCTGACGATCTTAATTGGTTTAATCAGTTACCCTTGATTTCTCGATATTTGTTGCGGTTTTATGACTGATAAAATTAATAGGCATATTTCTCCTCAACTGAGAAGCTGCGTCCATATTTGGTACAGATCCTATATATGCAGGTGGCACCATGCTCTTCCACAGGCAATATACAGTTGTGTGATTGTCTGTGTCGCTAGCAATATGTCTCATGTGTTTGTGTTTTACGTTAAAATGTAGGCTGATGTTGCGCTATGAGGATATTGTAGACGCTAAGGGCTGTATACATTGCGTGGCTTTCTCCTATTTCACCCATCAAATGTTATCCGGACCGTCATTATATGTATCATCAAGCGATATCCCCCACGAAAACAACATCATACGCGCGTTCAGCTCGAGGTAACTTCCGAGCTTATTACGAAATGGGTACACACATTCACATGACTTGATTGTGGCTGGGAGACGATTCCACAGGGCAGCATATCTAAGTAGAACTAAGTTGAACCGCATGTTTGTTCTGCGCCTTGGTTTAACCACAGTGAAATCATTGTTACGAAGGTCCCGATTGGAACTGTGCTACAATCTTAATGTGGGTAAATTGCAATCGGCATCGAAATAAATCAAATTCTACAAGTGGATGAAGTTACGCTTTAATCTTCGCAGGCAAAGTTAATCGATATGGAGTTGTTGACATCGTTCTTGACAGTTATTGGCAGAATTTTTGCCTAATTGGCATTTACTAAACGACCGCCGTGGACTTCACATGGCTGTTCTGTCAGATTCCATCATGCTGCCATACATTATGCTAGGATGGGGTGAGTGAGGATTTTAAAAGTTCAGCTCTAGTTGTGATCGTATGCATCTTATGAGATAAATTAGGCATAGCTTGTCTGGCAAGTGTCATCTGGTACTCAACCTGCTCAGATAATGTAAAGGTATAGGAATATCTGATTGCGAGATCGCGGATCGACTGTCGTACACAGGCATTCGCTGTTGTGACAGACTCTTCGGGCATAAATCAATCACGACACATGAAACTATTTTTGCTGAGAACTTCATCATCCACTTGTCATTCTATTTCTCAAGGGAACAAAGATCATTTGGAATGTGTAGTTGTTTGCTCTAAAGTTCAGCCTGTCGGAGCTCGTAGGGAATCTTTGTATCGTCGGCAAATAGGAATGGAATTTCATGTTTAACAACCACACTGAAGTCCTTCACATGAAACAGTAATAGCAATGAACCGAATACACGACCTTGGATAACCCCACTACTGTTGATTGCACGTGGGGAATAGTGATGTTCACCTAAACCACCCTTCGTATATGATGATAGCCAACGTAGTAGTGAGTCCTGGATTCCCAAGGATGCTATCCGGATCAGTAGCCGTTTGTGAGCCACACGGTAGTTATGCCCGCCGCACTCTCGTACACTAGTCATAACTGCTTCGGACACCCAGATGCGGGGTGAGTAAATGGGAAAGGAGATACAACGGAAAACAGAGAGAAAAAAAGCATTTAGCGATAGTCCGAAAGTAAATTCGACGGCCAGATACCATGGCAACGATGCAAGAGCTCTAGTTAATCCAGAACATGTTCATATCTCTGATGCCGAGCGCATTAACCACTCTCATAGTGATACTGACGAGGCATGGGTGTTACCGATATAACTTTTTGTTTTCGTCGTCTACGAACTGTGGTTTTCTGGGCGTGTTCTGTGACATTAAAGAGGAGCTGCATCTTCAGACAGCACATGCATCTGTTCACAGGTCATTGTCCCAGCGTAACATAAATGTCTGCAACAAGCGACTCCGATAGCACTAGATACACGGGGTAGTTGCCACTGTCAACCAGACCCGAGATTGTCGCAACCCAAATCCACACCGGGCACTCCAAAACCCTACGTCTGACCCGAACCATTTTTGTGGACATAACGTTTACATTCCTTGAGGGTGAAAAGTGATAGTCCGTGATACTTGTTGACAGACCTGACAAGGGTGTGGAAGTAACCAGTATGAAATGATTTCAGCGTATTGCTAGCATTTTTCAGGAAAAAGCGTGACTTGTTCCGGTGGCTTAGCATATAAGGAAAAATTTGAGGAAGAAAAAGTGGGAAAACTCCTAGTGATTGAGTTCTGTGAACAGAGAGTACTCTTCGGAACAATCTTTTGAAGATTGGGATTTTCTCAAGAACCTTACCCGCTAGGTGTTGGGGATTGGAATAGCCACCATATAGAGATATGGAAATAGATCCACAAGTGATTAGCTTACTTGACACTTCACTTAGCAAGATGCCACCAACAGTATCATCACTGAAAAATCTACAGTTCTGTGCCACGAATCACCAAAACGGGATGCGTTCTGGTGAGATATCATCCTCAGCGTGCTAATGACACGGTTGAACAATGAATTTATACTGGTTAAGAAGCGTTGCTTTACAAGTCCCGTTGGATAGTTGGTGCGATATCAACATAACAATAATGATGATAAGGATAGTAAATTAGTTAATAATTTAAATATGAAAATAAGGACTTATCGTTTGCTTCGCTGCAGTCCTGCGATCCTCTTAGATTCACTAGCACCCACAGTTAACAACAAATAATTCCATGGTAAACTCCAGGTGTAGGATGGAGACGTAGTGTTAAGTAACAAAGTGTAAGTGGATGAGTGCATCGTCCAACCGTCTTTTAAATACTGTTAGTGTCGGTGCAGAGACGACCGATTCTGGGAGAGCATTCCACGGGTGACAGACACGGATGGAAAAGAAATTTCTGCGGCACTCCAGACGACTGTATTGTTCTGCGAGTTTTAATGAGTGGCCCCTCAGGTTTGTATTGCTGCTGAGTTGCAGTAAAGGGCGGCACACATGATGTGGGTCTCGCAGAATCAAGTATGCCATAATCAGGTCGCCTCGTAGTCTGCGATAGCTTCCACTGAACAATCCCAGTCGTCGCAGCCTCTCCTGGTAGGAAAGATTGCGCATTCCAATTACGTTCTTAGATGCCCGGCGTTGTGGCTGCTCCAGTGCATTAAGGTCGTGTTTCAGCCATGGATGCCAGGCTTGAATTGCATATTCGACATGGGGGCGAACATACGCACTGAGCATTTGTCGAAATATGGAGCTGTTTATTTGTCCAAACGCCCGCCTCAACAGCCCACGTGTTGGTTCCCGGTCTTCGAGGCCTTTTCGGATTGCCTGGAGCAACCCAAGTCATCTTGAACCAGGACACCCAAGTCACGTTCGAGAGTTGATTGTTGCAGTACATCCGTTCCGAGTCGGTATGAGTAGCTGCTCTGATGTCGGATGGAAAGCACCTTGCATTTACTGACGTTGAAATGCAATAAGTTTTGGGTCGACCATTGATACACTGTATCTAAGTCACTCTGAAGCACATGTTGGTCGGCGTTCGCCTGGATCCTGCGCCAGATCTTGATATCGTCGGCAAACATTAGGAAGTTTGAAGCGATTCCCTGTGCAAGGTCATTAATAAACACCAAAAACAAACGTGGACCTAGAACCGAGCCTTGCGGCACACCACACTCGACTTGTATGGGGTCCGATAAAGAGCTCCGAACTCTGACCACTAATTGCCGTTGAAATAGAAAGTTGGCGATCCAGCTTAAAAGAGGGTCTCCGATCCCGTAATGCTGCAGCTTGGATAGTAGTATCCGATGGTCTAGACGATCGAAAGCCTTGGAAAAATCCAGGTAGATCACATCAACACTTCTCCAGCGTCGGCTGCCTCGGTCCAACTACTACGTGCAATTAGTAAATTAGTTGTACATGACCGCTGTCGACGGAAACCGCGCTGTTCAGGAGTGATGAGGTTGCAGTTTTCCAGATGGCACACCAGTGCATCGGCAACTATGGATTCCATGACCTTGGAGAGTATAGGAAGAAGGGTTACTGGGCGGTAGTTGGAAGATCAGTTCTGCTTCCATCTTTGTGA